CGGAAGTAAAACGACGCGCAGGGCAGGTAGGAAAAATACGGTATATGGATTCGCATAGTAATTTAATTGGCTACCTCCACCTGTGCCAGGTTCTAAATGGCGTTTACGTTTGTAATTGATTTACAACTTAAAAAAGGACCAAGTTAAAATTTAATTCATTTTTACATTAATATTTAGGATATAATTCTCGAACGAGCATTAAACGACTCTGCAAATACGTTAGTCATACGAAAACACATTTATAATACATATAAAGTATGAGAAAAGAGCAGACGGTTAGATTTAACTCTAAACGTACGGCGAAAATATCTCTGATAAAAATAATCAGTTGTTGAAAATAATTCCTCAATATACAGTTTTTGTTCGTACCTTCATCCCGCTATATCTAGTATCTCTTATGTTTCTTTTATACCCAATTTTTCTGCGGTCGTACTATTATAAGTCCTATTAATATATAATAAAAAGCTGCCGATTCCCAGGTCCTTTCTTTCCCTCTTTCTTCCCTTTCGAGACCGTAAAATGCAATTTTCGAATACGCTCGCGCATAATTCGTAGTACTCGGTCTACGTATAGTCGTCTAGGCCGATTTGCATCGTTAGGGACTCTATATGGGTCAAATCGGAACGGACCGCCGGCCGCAAAGTCCGAAGCCTACACGTTCTCTCTCCTCTCTCTCCTCTCTCTCTCTCTTCTCTCTCCTCTCTCTCTCTCTCCCCCTCTCCCCCTTCCCTTTGATATTATCGATTCAGACTGTATGGTGCGCTCCTGGCTGCTACCGCTGCTGCGCGACAGCCGTTTGCGTACATGCTTCCCGCGATATGACAAACAGCATGACGCAAGCGACGCCTGCAACGTCGCCGATATAATGCACATGTGTCGTTGATACGGCACGAAACGTCAAGACGTGTTTTCGAACGTCGCTATAACGATCGTGGTAGAGACGCGAAAGGCGAGGGAAGGCGAAGGGCGCGAATATTGGTCGAGACCGGGGGGGGAAACGCGAGCGTGGTACGGTCTCCCCGATAGAGAATGTCCTATGAAACGAGGGCTAAGACGTACCATCCGATCATCGCGTGACGATAAGGATCTTGTTAAATTACTTCATTAATCTTACGCGTCACTTCTGACACACCTCACATCGAATTATTTGCGAAAGGGCCTGAGCAGAACGGCTGCCTTGTACCCTTAAGACAGCTATTGTGCGTTACCTCAAGACAAAGGCTTAAAACGTAAAACATTGTCTTAGGGCTGACTTAAGGGTATAAGACAGCCATTCTGCTCAGGCCCACAAAACAATTGTAAATAATTATTGTTGTAACGCGGAGGGGGGGGGGGACGCGTGTATTGTACACACGCGATTCGAGAGGCACGAACTTTTGCTGAAATCGCGTGACGAAAACACGCGTTTTCTCGACGTGCGGAAAATACGTTGTCTCGAATCCCAGCGGAGCGTGAGAGCTCATATTAGATAGCAGACGCGACGACACGATGCACTCTCGCGGATGTCTCGGCGAGAGGAAGCGACAAGAGAACGCGCGGGCTCGGCTGGCGAAAGAGAGAAATATTTTAACCATCGACGGCACCGGAAGCCATTACGCGCATCGAACAACGAACATGCGCAACAAAACTGCTCGCCACGCCTGTCAGGCCCGATGAAATCATCCGCCGTTAAAGTACGCGACCTAGTCCGCGGCCGGGGGATCTTGGATGCATCGCGCAGGCGAACGAGAGAGGAAAAAGAAGGATTCGCCTCAGGGAACGTGGTGTGCCGAACCGACGTTTCGGCGAAGATTTCTAATTCCGCCGCGGCTTTAGGTCCCGATTTTTAGGTAAATCCGCGGAAACGCTCGCGAGATACGATCGCATCCGCAAAAAGAACTCGATGGTCTACCACACGGCATTAATCCGATCACTCGTAAGACGTAATACTCTAATTTTCTCCGAATTTACGAGGATTTTACGGGCGTATCATATGCCGTCAGGATCGGTTTATCGGCGAGCTCACGTTCGCTCTGTTGATCCTCTCAATGGACTCCTTGATGTGATTACTTTTTTGGCATTAAATGATTACAGAGAATCGGGAGAGAATTTCGTCTGACTATTAATCGCCGCGACGTACGCGTCTGATCGACTCGACTTTGCGTAAACTAGATGGTCCAAGAAAAGAAGTGCGATATTTTAATTAACAAAATGGAAAAAGGGCCAATGTGAGGCGAAGCGCCAGAAGGGAGGGGCGTTACCACTTTTTATTAACAAAACCAGTTTTTGTCGAAAAAATATATTCTAGACGCTTCGATCCACTTCAGACCTTCTTCAGTACTACACGGAGAAAAAAAACTCCTGGTTAATTAAAAAAGTGAAGTTGCTTGAATTAAACGTTAACGTCACAGACTGCCACAAACATAAATAATTCACTCCATTGTATTGTATTTGCTATGCCATGGATTTTAATTTTAAGCAATGAACTACATATCCAGATTATTAAGACAACTGTCTCATGTTTTTCATTTATTTATTAACACTGATGTTGTTTCAACGATTTTATTTCAACTACACTGATCAGGTTGATACATCGTCATTTTTTCCGTGTACAAACAATAAGAGGTGCAAGAAATTTAATATAATAATTTGTCATAAAGAAAGAATAAGTTGACCTAAATATGAGGAAAAATCCATTTTTTAAATTATAATTTTGTAAAAATATTACATTATTATCTCATTATCTTGATTATAAATTTAAAACATTGCGTTCTTTCTCTTTAATGTAATCATAATTACAAAATGTAATATAATTATATTTTTAATATAAATATAGTTAGTACGTAACAAAATGGAAAAGATAATTAATTAATGTAATTATTTCTTTTCAAATTTTATACACAGTAATTTACGTATACAAATAAGATCGGAGAAATCATCTGCGATACGTATACCATTCATACACTTCAAGTATGTATAATACTTGCGTATAAAGTCGGTAAGCATCAATAGAAACCGTCAAGAATGCGGGGCCGCGCATTGCAAAGTTGTAAACGTCACACGCATCGCTTATGCATTTTTCTGAAATCTAGCACGAGTTATTGTGCGCGGGTGGGGTTTTTTTCCCCCGTTACATAAGAAAATAATGGAGACCAGAGGTACGCTTTCAGAATTGACGTAGGAGCGCATAGAGGCGAGGCGTTTTTTTTATCGAACGGGCAACGTAATTGTAAAAAATGTTATTTATACCGGGCTGCGCGCTGCGGAGCGACGCAAACGAACGTGCTTGGTGCACTTTAGATGTCCGGCGCAAATTTTATTTCCGGTAAGAGGCTCCCTGGTATAAAACCTTGCCCGTCGATATCTTCGATATACCGGATATCTCGTCCGCCGCGGCTGCGAAAGAAGGAACGGTCCGTCGACGGGGTGTAGCGAAATGTCGAAGCGGGCGCGAACTTACGCGATGACATTTCCTGAAATAGCCCCGTGAATAGCCCGAGATTTTCCATCGTCGCCGCGCTGCGTGCAAATGAACGTCGAGGGGAAAAGAAAGAGAGAACAAGAGACGCGTAAATATAGAAATGCGTTAAATAACGGTCATTTAATTTCTCCCGAAAGGTTTGCTGGCGCTTTGCAACGCAAACGACCCGATGCTCCCCCGACGTTCCGAATTTTATCTTGGCGAGCACGCGGAATTTTTACGGCCTTATTGCGACGTATCTATGCGCGAATTCATCCAAGTTTTCGTACGGCCTCCGTACAATATGCAGCCGGGAATGTTTTATCGAAGGTATAACGAAAAGCGTCTCTCTCGCGGCCTTTATTTCGCGAAACGGGTACTCGTATGTAAAATGTCTGGCTCGTAATGCGTACGGTAACGGTCGTTATTACATATGCCGCTGTAAAACCAGTTAATGAGGGAGAATGCAAGCCCCGTAACTACATAATATGCAAAAGATTAATATTCGCTTTGTCCCCGCTCCGTTCCTTTAATTGCATAAATGTCAGCGTCAACGCGCGCATTTTTTTTTTTACCGATGTCACATTATCGTCGAAACAGCCAATAAATTAATTGAAATTAACGAAGGTGTTTATCCTAATATCGAGCGCGATTACGCGTGTATTGTTGTGAACGGGCAATAATAGGCTGATACTTATCGCATTATGCGGGCATTCACGCATCACCGAATTATATAATCACGGGGAATCTCGCCTGGAAACGAAAGCGCCACGATACGTAATTGCATACAGAGTGAAAAATTATTCTGACAGAATGAATGCATTTATATGCCTCGCGCGAGCAAATTACGCTTTTATCAATATGCAGGCGTATCGCATTCGACTTGGTAAGCTACATTTTTATTGGCATACGTGATATAATAAAACAGCGACCTCGCTTGTGAAAAGCGCATCAATTTCAGGGGGCAATTTTTTTTTAGAAAAAAAATGCGACGGCATACATTTTTATTAGGCATCTCAATTGATCAACTGTAATCGTCAATGTCGCTCGGTTTTTCCGATGTGCCGTCGGTACTGTGTACGCATTGGAAGTCGCATGCGTTAAGTAGCGCAAGCGACTTTTGTACCCGGCCAGAGCAAGAATAGACTGCGCGTTCCCTGTCTCTCCCGTGTTGAGTACACGTGGAAACTTTAGAACGAGATAGCTGACAGTTGAGTGGTCGCCTAATCTTTGTCTAATAAATAGCGGGGGTAACAAAAGAGTGAGTGGAATGATAGAGGGCGAACCAACTAAAAGTATGTTGTCTCTTTCTGAGTTTGTACACTGCTTCAGCCAAACGCGCAGTCTACACAGGGTGTTGTGTAATACCCGCTTCGCCTCTTATTTACGGATAGAGCGGACTAGACTGAGTCGAAAAGTCTTCTACCATTTTGTATTACATAACACCCTGTATATTATACGTCTATGCTTCCGCGGAAACAAAATGGAGGTTCTTGCCATTAAAAAAAATGTCTCTCGCAGTTAATTACACGTGTAACCATTTCCGCGTTTCTGTGTTTAGTACCCATATCACACATCGTGGCACTGGTCGGAGATTCCACCTATCTTCCCTGCGACATATCAACCACTCACGAGGGGGACTTCGTGCATCTTGTGCTCTGGTATCGCGAGGATCTCGGTACATCAGTTTACAGGTAAAGTGCAATCAATCCGTATACATGCGCACACGCCGGGCGTACATAGACATGTACAGGGATTTGCAAACTACCGCCCGGTCGTAACAGGAACGGACTGCAAACAGCCCGTCGGCACAATGCAAGATTGGTAGTCCGCTTTTATCCGAAAATTGTCTTCGAACTCGATTTTCCTCGTCGTCCCGCTCAAAGAATGCACGTCGTGTTTGCGATAGGAGGAGTCACCGTTGAATATTGCATAAGTATCGATTTGCAGGGGGATTGTTGAAAAAAAAGGGGGGGAGAAAGACGAAGCGCCGGGACGCTGTCAAGAACCGTGCGATCATCGCTTTCCTGCGATTTAATTACCGAAAACGTGATGAACGCGTAAGAAAATTATATTGCCGTTGCAACATCGTCGCTGTATCGTTTATCATTATTATTACTGCCGTCACGTTAATATCACTGCTGTATCGTCGCTGGTTTATTGCAAAAAGTCGCGAGGCTGCATTAGCGTTTATGTCCATGATCAATTTTCACGGTGCTGACTTGCGCTCTGGGAGAGACGGGGAGAGGCTCAGGGTGACGCTTTTTAATCGCTGCTTTGGATTCAATCCAGAATAATACAGATTGGATTTCGCGGCTGTGTTACATAACCCGCGTCGCGGCGCACATATTAATGACAGAACGGATGGTATCGCGGCACGAATGAGAATATACGTTCACTATTGAAAAATACTGGAACAAAAAAAGGGCGGGGGCGAGAGAGAAAAATTTGCAGCGCGCATATTTTGCGCGCGCACGTCGCCGCGGCCGTTATTTCTGGGAGGAGGGGGCAGGGGAGGGAGGTATCGCCGACGGATTTAAATGTTTCCCATGATTTTGCATCAGATTTTAATTACCCGTCACGTGTGCCGGGCCGTCAGATCGCTCGGCGGCGATACGGACCCGCCGCGCGGTTTTTCCACGCCCGCCCGGGGAAAATGCGATGAGCGCGCTCGTAGATAACGAAATTTCGCGACAGTTTCATCGACGCGCAAACACCGGCGCGGCGTCTTAACCGAGTTAATCCCGGTAGACAATAAAATTGCGTCCGCCCGGCTTCCCTGTCGCGACGCGATTTTACTCCGTTTTAATTTTCCCTCACGTACTTCATAAACTACGTGAACTATGCGGGAAAACAAACAGATTGCTCCTTATCTCGAGATTCCCGCTGGCTCGCGAGCACGCGACAATGCGATCTAATTATTCCCGTCGCGTTGTAACTATCTTTAATTCGGCATCGAGTCCCAAAACGGCGAAATTAGAGCCTAATCTACAACGTGCACTTTGCATCTAGAAACATTTTATTTTCCCCGAGTCGAATACCTTGGCCTCGGTTCAGCCTCGTATAGGTTTTGAATTGGGAGCAATTAGGTCGAACCGACGTCTTTGTGTCGGGGAAAAAATGTTGAATTTTTGACCACAGATAGGCCTGAAAAGAGTCGCTACTTCGCTTTTAGCAGTAAAGAGGCCAATGCGAGTATAATCAAAAGAGGTTCGGTAGATCCTCTTTGACCGAGGGGGTTTCAAAGAGAGCGAAATATTTTATTACATTCTCTTCGAGGGGTAGAATAAGATTAAACACAATTTTATCGCTCGATCTAGGCCTCAAATTGGAGTTTTCAACCGAGGTCCAAGTGAAGACAGAATAGAATAATCGAGGCTCAAAAAAATGTGTGCAAGTTGACAAATTGTACACTAGGAATCGCTGCCTTCCCACATGAATTTAGGCACGTGAGGAACGCGTATACATTTTCCGTGTATGTATATGCAAAATGTACAAATGTGTTGACACGTGCGCAAATCCATGTGGGAAGGCATCAGTGATTCCTAGTGTACAATCGTACGTCGTCGACAAATTATTTTAAACGTGTCGTCCATATAAAATAGAATGTTTCTAGACGCAAAGAGCACATTGTATAATAGATTCAGCTTGAACATCGCGTTCGCGCGCGAATAATTTTCTCACGCAAGTTTGTTAACCGCTTGTCGTCCGCCCAGTGAGCTTCGCACGTCTCGCCACGTACGCCACGTACGCCACGTATAATTTTCATTAGCATAAACATTTAACGATAAAATATTGTGCAACATAATTAAATAAGATTACATGTTCACGCGGGTGTTGAACGGCGCGTTTTTTACTCCCCGTTGTTTTCTAGTTATTTACGTCATTCAAAACTCTATATTAAATTATAATTATCTTTCGCAAGCATTTAAACAATCGCGGTAGTGACGGAAAGCGCCGCTGAAAAATCCGACGCCAGAGCGCAAAGTAACGGGACGAGGGGGGCGTCGCGAACTGTCGCCGATAGTTCTGATAAAGTTATTAAAGTGAGGCGAGTAACGGTCGACCGTTTCCATCGCGGCGTACCGAGTTAGAAGGTGAAGGCGCGGGGGCCGGTTGTGTTGTTGTTTTGGCCGCTCACGTCCTACGCCCGGTCACGCGCTCGTTTCCTCTCCCTAACTCGCGCAGTCGTCCCGAGCTCTAGTCTCGCGACGTCGTCGCCACGCTTCGGATCGCGTCCCGGTGCTTCGCGTTTCGCGCCGCGCGTTTCTCGAATCGCGCGGGCTCAATTCGAGAGTCGCCGCGGCGCGACGGCGGCGTCGCGAACGCGTCGTACTTCACGCTGTACACTGCGAAGTGCCGTTGCGCGTCCCGTCCCGCGCGAATCGCGACGGTGCGAGCGGGCGTGCGCTCCGCTCGTACGACGAATCTTCCGCGGACCGACTCGAGTGACTCGCGAGAAGTGCTGGCGTTTCGAATCGCGACTCGTGAACCGCGGGGCTACGTCGACAATGTGGACGCGCGTCTGCGACACGTCGTCGCGCGCGCAACGGAGCAGCGGAGCAGCAATGGCGGCGAGCGGTAAGTGAACTCCCTCCAAAAAATCGAGAGGAACCGCCGAAAATCGCGGACGCGGAAAGAATCGACGGGGGGGGATCGCGCGCGGGGCGAGCGGAAGGTGCAAATAATTGGCCGGATCTCCGTTAATTCGCCCCGGCGAGTCCCTTAACCCTACCCTCGGAGATCCTCGCTCTCTCGCGAACGCAAAATTATCGCGCGGCCGGCGATGCGTTGCATTTTTCATTAACAGGCCCGCCCTATCTGCAACGCAGATTAGCGGCGGCGGTATTACGTTAAGCACTTTATTCTTCAGCGCTGTGCTTAAACATGCAACTCTCGCCTCGCCCGCGCCATTATCCGCTTCCTTTCATAGGGAAGCAGAAACGCTGCGCGCCGGCTGGTAGCCCGAGTGTCCTCGCTCTCCCCCCCCCCCCCTTCCCATCCCCGCGCGATTTTAATACCCTTTTCAAACGTTACGATACGTACAACCGGAAAGCTCGTCACGCGGTAAACGCTAACGGATCCTTAAAAAGCGGGGAAAAATAGCAACGGCGCTTAAGCGGCTTCGTTGGTCCGTACGTTCGAATGCCGCGTTCATTCGCGGCGTGAAGTCGGCGAAACACACTCGCATTCTCCCCGACAATAACGCGCGCGCGAGCGGGAAATATGAACGGCGAATCCGCTATTTGCGTTCCGGAATGTTAATATAATCTCGCGCGCGTCCGCGAGGCCGCGTGCGCGCGCGGGGACAGGAGCGGGGTGAGGGCGGAATTTGAGAAATTTAAAAAGGCCGTCTCTCTCTGTCCCCCCGCGGCGTTACGTCGCGCGGCGTCGCGCGTCACGTGTAAATCATTAGGCGGTAATTAGCGGCGCAGGAGAAGCGCAATCGCCGTGAAATGAAATCAATTATGTCGGTACAATTATTACAATTTGATAGCGTTCACGGCTTGAAATAACGATTGCCCGATGGTACATAATGATCGGCGCGGAGGAACTTTAATTATGTGCCAATTACAACGACCGCGATAACGCGCCGGGGCTGGTCGGCGCGATTTAAACTATGCAACGCGAAATCCCCCCGTGGATTTTAATTTATTCCTTCGTGTCGACTGACGAATTCATCCGCGGCCGCGCCGCCGCTGCGGGACAGCGCTCATAAACATTAATCGAAATTACCGCCGATAATGATGCCCCGCGCCGCTAAAATAGCCGCTAACCGTCAACCAAAACCGCGCGCCTTTTTTTTACAGTCGAAGCGTCGAATCGTCCGATCGACGAGAACGACACGGGGGGCACGTGTGGCCGCGCGCGTTACCGACGCGCGGTGCCTGTCGTTAAAACCTTTGGGGTGCGTTCCCTTTCACGCATAATGCAGCATTTATCCTTCTTTAACAATTGGTGAATAACAAGGATAAGTACGCGTCGTGCGCATCATACGTGAAAGGCACCCATAGACTGCCGGCGAATTTTCATCAAAATAGTAAAGGCACGTCTCCTATTATGAGACAGGCTCCCAATACGAGATAGCGGAGTTTCTGCTAAATTCGTAGGCATCGTCTGCTGGTACCGCCATGAATTCATTGCCCTCCGAGTGAAATCTGTTTTATGGAAAATTGATTGTCAGATCGTGTAATCGTTGCGAAAAAAAGATCGAATTTGGACGTTGGAAACCTACTATCTCATAGCAGAATCCTACCTCATAATAGAATCCTATCTCATAATAGAGACTTTTCTCTGTTCCTTTTTCCTAAAAATTTATGTACAGAGGAAAGTCCCCTATTATGAGACTTCTACCGCGAGACGGCGGGATTTCTACTAAATTAATAGGCATCGTCTGTTGGTGCCACCGTGAATTTATTGCCCTTGGAGTGAGATCTATTTAGCGGAAAATTCATTGTTAGATCGTGTAATCGCCGCGAAAGAAGATTGTGACTGAATTTGGATGTTGAAACCTGCTATCTCATATTAGAAACTCATCTCCATAATAGGAAACCTTCCTCCGTAAATAACATACGCGTCGCGCAGAATTGCGAGATTTGTTAGGAGCGAAAAACGCGGTTTCTCCGGTAATCTAAATCACCTAATCTGCAATGTGCTTTCTGCATCTAGTAACGTGCTATTTTATATAAACAAATGAAAACGCTCCAAAAATTTGTCGACAATGTACGATTGTACAATGCACGGTATACACCCTCAGAAAGGATTTCTGTTACCGAGACAAAAAATAGTCTTGACGCATTTATATTTCTCACAACCTCGTTTAGTATAAAAATAAAACGATATCAAAATTAAATCAATAATTCTTATTCTCTATCGAATTAAAAAAGATTGACTTACTATATTGAGACAAGTGTAACTTATATAAATGTAAGTTTGTATATTCTTGCGTTTAGAAATAAATTATCCCTTCATCTTGGCACCACGACATTCGACAAAAGACGATTCTGGATTTTAGAATTGTTTATTTAAGATTAAAATATTTCTTTCTCTATAATAAATATGATTGGCGCTACATCGATTCTATTTTATGATATTATATAGTACATTGAAGTGTAATTGCTTTGGATGTGGAAGTTTTTTCCACGGGTGTACAATTTATCAACTTGCACAAATTTTTTTGACGTATTTGTTGACTACAAAATAGAATGTTTCTGGATTAGGCTTTATGATTTAGAGTCTGGCAAGCGGAAGTGCGTTCCGCGATTTCTTTTCGCTCGCGGCGACAAAATCTTGATACTCGAGGCGCTGATGGATGTTCTCGTTAAAAATTCACGCGCCGTCCCCGAAAATACATTTATTTTCGCGCGCTTATACATATTTGATGCATCCTTCCTGGCTAATTTGAAACTGTATTTTTAAATGCGGTCCGTTTAAAATTGATCGTGGAACGTAATTCCGCTCTCCGTTGTCCCCGCCAGACCTTGCGGCTCGTCGCAAGTGCCGTATTTTTACTATCTATTCGGAAACTATGAATGTCGCGTCGTCCTCAAGGGAGATTAACGACGAATGGGCTGAAAGAATTAATCATTAAGGAAGTAACGTGGCGAAAGTGGAGCACTTTGCTCACGGTGTCCCCGGTACTTACGCCTCGCCCGCGTCAGAGACGCCGCGGCGTCTTTTCAGAACTTTTTACGTCGCCTTAAATATCCCCCTTGTATCGATTCAAATGGGCTTTCAGCGGGAGCTCGCCCGATCTAAAAAAAAAAGGAAAAAGATTCCGTGGCAAAAACGCGAAAACTTCGTTGTATGACGGGATCGCGCGGGGAAGGAGAAAAGTTAGCGGGTCGCGCAAAACCCGCGACGACGCGACGGCGACGGCGACGGCGGCGGCGGTGGCGGCGACGGGAAAATCTCCGTTTTACAGGAATGGTAAAACAATCGGTTTTTTTTCCATCCCGTTTCGCTTCCTCGGTACAAATATTCGCTGCGCGTTTTGTCTTTACAACAATTCTCGGTAACGAGTATTTCATCTACCATGAAATTATTCCCGGCCGTAATTCAGCAAGGCAGCGGCCACACTTTTCAGATGGATATTTTCATTCGCGTGCTTATTATTGCAGATGACACATATCGTACAATTGTTATTATATAGCGTTTCGAAAATCTGTCTGTCGGATTATTTACACGACTGGACGGCTGACCGCGTCATAAAATATTCCTGTAAAATGCAGCGTATACGTAATGCAACATTTTGCACGACCTATATTTTTTAATGACGTTACAAAAGCATTTATCTCGATGAGCGGAATTTTATTCGCACTTTTTAATTCCGGCGCAATTTAATCTTCCGATTCGCATCTCTGAAACGGAAATTATCGCATTATCATCATCATTATTGCATACTAAATTCATTTACACGTACATTTTAATATGTAATATCAAAAGGTGAGAGAATGTATAATCCAGTGACATTAATACGATCAAATTCTCTGGTGAGATACTTTTGATACAGCTTAATATCATAAGCTCCCTTTTATCCGAAAACGAGAGAAGGGAAGCGGACGCGTGTGCGTCCCCCATTATAAGTGTTCATCTATTATCCATAAAGCAGATTGTGCATTCTCCAGGGGAGATGAACGCGAAACGTTGATAGTTGATATCGTTCAGTACCAGGGCTCGTTCATTCGAACGCGATTTCTTCTTTTTGTTGCAGCATCGACGCCAGAAACCGAGAGTTCGGTATCGCCGAAAGATGGTCGGACGACAGCGTGTTCTCGCATCGCGCCTATTTCATGCTGGACAAGCAGCCGGCGCAGCTGGGCGTCGAGAACACGAGAGAAGAGGACGCCGGTATCTACAGGTGCCGCGTCGACTTTCAAATCGGCCAGACGAGAAACTCCAAAGTCAATTTAACCGTAATCGGTAAGTTTTATTCAAGCCGTTCGATTTTAGCGCGACAAACGACGGATGTTAACGTTTCATTAAAGACTTGTATATTTGCACAAGAGAGGCGAAAACGAAAATTTTATCAACCTGATCCCGAAGAGATGTAATCGTCGTCCCGAGCGATTCGGCGACGCGATTACTTGCACGCGATGTGTTATTCAATTAGGTCTGACCGGTGAGTCGGGCAGTTTCGCTTAAATTACACGCTCCCGTGCAATTACGGGCAGTTCCTTTTTTCGAAGGAGAGAGCAGCATTTTGGATGCGAATAAGTTTTCGGTCACGTTTTACAGTGGCACGTAACGTACAATAAATCCAAGACGGAAATTGGAAAGTTCTTGCGACCGCGTGTACGACAAACGTTAGTGTATCGCGGTTGGAGCGAGCCAGTGAGTTAGCTTGGCAGTTTCCACCTTGGACTTATGTACATTAATATCCGAAACGCGATGCCGCGGAAGCTCCCCGTTCCGTCCCCTCATTCTTACCCGTGGTAAGAAAGTGTTCGGGAAGATCGTTCCAAGTAACCGGAGCCAATTGTAACTTTGCCGGGGCCGCTCTCTGTACATAATTATCTCTTTCATTAATACCCAATTAGCCGCTCGAGCACCGGCCACTCGACCCGCGTATTGCGATTATGCTAAAAATGACACGGAAGTTTCGCGGGCTCCGTATAAGTACCCGCCTCAAAGTTACCGCGTCGCCGTTACTTTCGCCCCAACTTTACCCTTATAAAAGCCATCGCGAGGTATTGCGAGTGGCTTAAGGCGCGGGAGCTGTAAGGATCAACTCGAGACTCATTGCCCGGGGGTCGCCGAAAAGGGGCCTTCGCCGGCATTAAAGCCATTCGATGTTTGAGAAAATGCGTCGAGCACCGCGCGAACCAACAGGTTGCAAACCGGGGTGCGCGCCGGCGATAATTATTTCTCGCTTTTACACGACGATCCGATGAATCCGGCTCCTCGAATAACGCGTGCTCGGTCGAGAAGGTACTTCGTGCGATACGCGATTTTCAATTATTATCATCGGAGCGTTATTGTTGTTTTTACTCGTGCAAATCCCGCTCCTCTTAAATCCTCGAAACGTCCCGGCGAAATTTTAATTATCGTTTTTTTCCCCACGTAAAAAGATTTAATTTAAATGGGATTTAATGGATCTCTAAAACGTCATCTTGTCTGCGCCACGTTAAATCGTAAACTCTGATAAAAAATTCTAATTAGAGAGCGATTTTTTAACTGATTTTTTTTCCCCCAAACTATGTTTTAATATTACGCCTTATTTCCGAACCACGTTTCTCGTTGTCGTTCGACGTGACGGGCATTTTCCGCGCTCCAACAAAAGAATTGTAAAACGGCAATTAAGCGACGTAATAAATTCGAAATAAAGTGAGCGGCCATCGGGACGAGACGAGCATATGCGACAACAGGGGCGGAGGGGGAGAAAAAGAGACAGAGGATTCAAGGAGAAAAAAAGGAATCCAATTAACATCCTGTTGAAAAGTTATGGAAACGCCAACGGCGAATCCCGAGCGTCACCTCGGGATTCGCCGTTGGTCGGCATGTGCCAAGGAATTTTTCCCGCGGGGTAATTAGCTTTCCCCCCGGTGCACCCTACGACCCACCGACATTTCACACGTCCTTGCTACGAGCTCGCAGACACTCCGACCGTTGGTAAACCTTTTCCAGATGAACGCCAATTAACGTGCCTTTACTCCCATCGCGCTTTCGCCAGCGAAATTGCACATCATTCTCTCGACGGTTTGCTCTCTCTCTCTCCCTTTTTTTTTCGGGAACAGAAGTTACAAAATGACTGAACAATTGCGGTTCGTGCCGCGTACTCCGCGTTATGCGTTCGATGAGCCGAGTCTATTGAGACTTGGAGATTCACGTTCCTTTCTATTTTTAACGTTAAACCTTCTAACGAAGCGAGCTCCTGTCGAATCTAACAGCGTCGAGACTGATCGAGGACCAGTTTCACAAACATCGGCTAACTGCTAACTGAAAGTTGATCGATTTTCTGATAGATAATCTCCTTCTTAGGTAACAGTATAGAAAAGGGAGTCGACTAATATCTAGTTAGCCGACGCTTGCGAAACTGGCCCTGAAAGGCGCAACTCTGAACATCATAATTTCTTAAGGTCTGTGTCCACGATGCGACTAGAACTTGGTCCAAGTTCTAATTCCGAGAAATGTATAGCCAATCAACTTGCAGCTATTCCATAAAAGCTGCAAGTTGATTGGCTACACATCTATTGAAACTAGAACTTGGACCAAGTTCTAGCATTGTGGACACAGGCCTTTAGTTTGATTGCTAGGGGGAAGACGGGTAATATTGTTACCCCCGCGACGCGCACATATAGTAGTCGCGACAGTCGTCGCGTTACAACGAGAAATATGTGCTCGTGAGATGAGCGAGAATGGGAACGTCGTTAAATGTTGCGCCCGCGGAATTTAAACGCTCTCCTTTGCCCGCGTTCTATCGCATATTTACGCGTCGCAGCCATCAAAGAACCGGGCGTGCGCCGAACAGGCGAGGCGAGAACGCATTCGAATCAGATGCACTATCGCGACAGGATCAGGGAGGATAGAATAAGGTGAACAAGGGTGAGAAGGGAGCGACTCGACCATTAGTGTGGATTTACTTCCTTAAGGTGGCTCCTGCATAAACCGACCAAAAGTAGAAAAAAATTGAAATTTAAATATGTTGCAGTTGTAAATTTTGCCTATCAGTACGCGAAATTTCAGACCCGGTCGCCGATGAAATAAAATAAAGAAAAAATGTTAAAGTTGTATTTTCTAACATTCCAGTAAACACCAAGTAACAGTTACATAACATCAATATTATAATTTCCTGCTCGACAAGGTAAGTGTAATGTAACACCCATGTTATATTACATTTACATTGTTAAGTAGGAAATTGTAATATTAATATTATGCAACTGTTACTTGATGTTCACTGGGTTATGGGCCGATCGTTCGCGGAAGCACTTTGAGGGTTAATATCATTTTATAGAAAAAGTAGATCTTAACAAAAAACGAGATGAACATAATAAATGCTATAAGGATTCAAATGTGCTATTAAGTATATGAGGTCACCGACCTCTGCAAGCGAATACTTATTAGTAAAGTTGCAAGATACAATGTTTTGAGGAAATTTGACAGCTCTTTGAGATTTGATAATATCACATATTTTTTAATATGTTTTGAAACGGGCATATATAACCTAGTAATATAATATAATGCATTGAGCGATATTTTTTTAATGAAAAAGTCATGAATTTATAAAAATCAAAGGGGTCCCACCAAAGCACCCATACTAACCGCTCCTTCGTGCAGGAGCCACCTTAAGATAATACGTTTTATAATCGGAGATACGTGGCAGCGAACGGATCTGGTTAAAACTCGACGTTATCTGCGAACAAGTTTGTTTCAAAATTTTTAATATCGCGAGTTTCCAGGTAATTAATCCTTTATTTGAATTAAACTTCGCTTTCCACTTAGTGAACGCAGAAAGTAGGAAAATATTCTGTCGCTGGAAATACACGTGTATAAATTTATAAACATATTCAAAAGGAAAAGATTTTATTTTTATTTATGGAAACATTAATAATTATACGCAAACTGATATAGTAAGTGTAGGGAGTGGCTTTGTGGAAAGGCGAAAGAATTTAGTAAAATTGTTAGTGGTATTAACATACATGCAACAATTTTCGCGCAAGACGTTTTATCTTAAAGAGTAAATATGACCAGTCGCACGCTGTACAAAGTGGATATATATATATATATATATATATATTCGCCTAGTCCAATAGACAAGATTACTCCGAGATCTTCTTGTCGACGCCACAGACGTCCGTAAATAATCCAACCCGTCATATTTTCCGGCAGGAATACCCCGTTGGCTGTATCGCGACGGCTGCCCGAGTTACCGTATCGAGGAACTTTGTGTTTGACAGTGGTTCCCAGCAAAAAATAAAGGGAATAAAGGAGGGTGAAAAGTTTCGTAGAGTCGACGGGAACCAGACCTTTGACCCGACGTTAAAGCTTCGGTAAACGAGAGCATTTATCGTAGCAAGACGCCGTGTCCCCTTTCGGTCGAACAAGAAATACAAGGTATTCCAGTTCCGAAAGTATAGAATGTAATTCGATAAATTTTCCGCGCTGTACTGGCGATTTCACGAGGGGCATACCTCGCAATTTTCTGTCGGCCAATATTGACATTTCAATGCGGATAACGCGCGCGCAAGCGGACATAAATTTTGTGTATTTTATAATTTTGCAAAATAATATAATGATACACGTTATCGCGAAACGTTCGCAAATATTTCATTGCATATTCTTTAATAATTGTATCGGATTAATGTTTTCGGCTATCAATTATTACAGGCGCAACGATGTTCGAGCGGCGTGATTTAATTATTATGTAATGAAACAAAACGGTTTTCTCTCCATATTTAATTTTGATAAAATTGCGATTATCGACGATTAAAAATCTTTACGCTGTAATAAAAAGAGAGTAACGGCTTGAATACGGTCCCAAATCGGTACCTAAAGCCCGCTCCGGTCGGTATGTACCTATCAGTTCTCGTTTAGAAGCAGAGATATTATATCATGCTTTAGGGTTTCATAAAATACGGGCGAACTGAAGATAAGGTGGTTCCCGAGTAACCAGCCAGGGAAACCAGAAATCGGTGCAAAAACTCCAAAGAAATGGCGGCTCCTCGCATTAAGACTTCCTCGAAGTCGAGCTACAGAAAACGAGCGCATTTATCTTCTTGAACCGTTGTTTCTTTAAAGTAAGAAAAGGATGGAGCGGTAAAAGCTGCGAGTGGGGTTTTTTTTCGGCCTCTGGACGGGACAATACATAACTGGGTAATACCCACGTCCGCGGACGTTGTATTGCCGTTCGCTCTTCGCCGATCCAACTTTGTAATCGCGATAATCGAAATCCCACGTAAGGGCAAACGAACTGCCTGCCATTT